GACAAGTGGTGGGCTTTCCAGCTCGGAGGAGTCTGTCCACATCGGCTGGGGATATCCGGTCAAAGTGGTCCAATACTGGACCCGAGGACAGTCGAGGGGCCTCCAGTTCCTTTATTGTATCGAAATTGGCGGGGAGGTCATGGCGGAGCAACAGGACCTTCTCCGCAAAAAAGCTCGCAAATGCCTCACAGCTGTGTGTCAAATTGTGTGTTAAATTTGGCTGTCCCTCGAGGGACGTTAAAGACCGAATTATACTAAATAATTGCGCCGGGCGAGAGCTGGCGGATGCAATGGAGGCCGAGAAGTAGGACTTCTTAGCGGCCTTCACTGCCATCTCATAGGTTTTCATAAAAACCCTATAAGATGTTCTTGAAGCTCCGTCACGGGCACCCCGCCATACTCGCTCTAGCCATCTGAGGTCCCGCTTCATTTTCCGGAGCTCCTCGGTAAACCAGGGAGCCCGGTTTCTGCGGGGTCGCAGAGGGCGCTTAGGTGCGATCTCATTGATGGCTGCCAGGAGCTGGGTATTCCAGCCCTCAACAAGCTCAGTCAATGAGTCGCCAGGGGGAGCAAGGTCCCGCAAGGCTTGACGGAATCTATCAGGGTCCATCAGCCTCCGCGGGCGAGCCCAAATCGGCTCGCCACCTAAGCAGGGTGGGGGTGGAACGTCAATCCTGGCTTTCAGAGCGTAGTGATCAGACCATGGCACCTTCATCGAAGGAAACATGATCACATCTATACCGACGCCAAAGATCAAATCCAGCGTGTGGCCTGCTTGATGTGTGGGGCCCGAAACAAACTGGGAGAGCCCTAGTGTCGCCATGGAAGACACCAGGTCCAGAGCTTGTGAGGAGGGAGTGGCATCAGCATGGATGTTGAAGTCCCCCAATACCAATAGGTTAGGGAACTCCAAGGCCCAGCCGGCCACCGCCTCCAGCAGGCCTGACAGGGTGGCTGCTGGTGCGCTAGGTGGCCGGTACACCAGCCAGACAGCCAAGCTCACCTCAGAGCCCCACACTAGGCCAACACATTCAATGCCGGGGATCGATGGCGATGGTAGAGCCCTGAAAGAACAATCTTCCCGGATTAATAATGCCACCCCTCCCCCCCGGCCCACAGTCCGCGACTGGTGGAGGACGGAGAAACCCGGGGGCGCCATCTCTCGTAAGGTAACAGTATCCCCTTCGCGCACCCAGGTCTCCGTCACACAGGCCAGGTCGACCCCCTGAGAGATGAAGAAATCTCGTAGGGTGGCGGTTTTGTTGCCTATAGACCTGGCATTGCACAACACCAGTGACGGAGGTGAGTAATCCTTGCTCACCCTACCCTCGTCTCTCGGGATGGGGCGCAGATTGGAAGGGGTACGAGCATATCCGTATCTCGATCCCCTTCGCCTATAACATCTGCCCCCACCGCCATACCTCCCTCGCCCCTCCACAGTAGGAATCCCAAGCCTCATATTCACCTCCATTTACAAAATATAAAAGCAAACAAACAGAAAAATTGAATGTCCTGGTTTTCCTGAGACACTTGCAGGGTATGTTAACTCTGAGTACGTCTGAGGATTCCAGGGTATGGTCTGAAACATTTTTGTTCCCAGATGCTTAGGAAGCTGAGGTAATTTTAATCTGTTTTAGCATTTTAACTTTTGTATGTTTTAAAGTAGAGCTGTGAATTTTTCTTGTCGATTTCTCTTCTTGTAAACCACTTTGAAGTTTTTTAAGCAATCAAGCTGCCTATAAATTTAATGAAATGATTAAATAAAATGTTTGCTGCTTTGGATTCCATGGTAGGGCTATAAATAGGAATTAATTCAGGAGTTTGGAGAACAACTCATTCCAGAACGTTCTGCCCCACTTTTCTTTTCCTCCAGTGTTTTTCTGGAAAAATCTAGCATGCTTACCTGCCTGCACATAGCTTCTATTGACTTTTAAAAGAGCGTACAAAATGCAGGAAAGGCCTGAGGTGCTTTCAAATCAAACTGAAATAATAAACGCCTTTTTGTAATGCTGTATTTTTAACATTTTGGTTTTGAAACTGCAGGAAGGCTTTGGAGCCAAGATGTCACCCTGCCCGTCCATTTTTAGAATAGATTAACCCACAGTTTACGTAAGCTAAGCTATTGGTTAGCAGCAGAATCCTGTGTGGCCTGCTGGTTTTTGGCTAACAGAAAAGCAGATTTCCATTCCTCTTAAGCCTTTTATTAATTCAACTAATCACTGTGATTTAAGACATAGGTAAACAATTGAGATTGGGTTGCAGTATCAGCACGGGCCTCTTGCAGAGGAAAATGATCACTCCCCCATTTGAACACAGACAGCATGTGCATTACTTGATTTCTTTACACGTGATTACCGTATGTCTGAAAGCTGAGCACAAAAAGCATTGTGTGTGAGAGCAAATGCAACTTCAGCCTGGGGTGTTAATATCTGTGACACTGCAGATGACCTTCAGTATAAGTGGCCATTGATGAATACCAATAAAGAGAGCCAAATGAAGACATGGCTTTGCATAAATTTTGCCTTGGCTATATATATTAAATTTTCGGTTTGAAAATCATCTGTTCTTTTTAGGGACCGACACCACTCATCTACCGTACTTGTGACTGTTCACCGGGTCTCGTAAGATTTCGGGTGTTTCTTCTTTTAGTGCTGGGTTTCTTTTAAAACTGATCAATTCTTTTATTAGCGATGGATACAAGGAACATTTTGCATGTGCGACTAGCTGTACCAAGACACATAATGTACTTAATTGCTGTAACAGGTGTAAAAAAGAAGAGAAGAATTATTATGAAATGATAAGCAAATGTGGTATAGTAAGTAGAGAAAAAGAAAAAGAGAATAGCAGAGAAGTAACCAAGATAAGAAACAAAGAAATCATATAAAAAACCAAAAAGGACAAAGTTATTTACATAGTAAAAGTACTCATCGGCACAATCCTTCCCATCCCTCTCATTATATTGTTTGATATAACATTCTTTTTTACACAGGTTTACATTGTTTAATATAATTTCTTTCTGCTTTGTATACATTCCTTTGATCTTTTTCTTTACAGATATCACACAATTTCTTCTAACATGGAGTTATTTGTACAATAAAGTTTTACATAATTCTTAAATATTATCCATTCTCTAGTTTTGTTTTGTTTTTGTTTTTTTGTTTCAATATTCCTCTAACTGATTCCATCAGTTTTGCTAATTGTAGATATTCTAACATGAGTATCTGCCAATCTGTAATCTCTGGGAGCGTTTCATTCTTCCAGTTCCTTGCTATAAGGGTTCTAGCTGCTGTTATACAATACATAAACAATGTTCTTATATCTTTTTTAATTTCTGGTAGTAGTATAGGAAAATCTCTGGGGGGTTTTTGAAGGTGATTTTAAATAGTTTCTTAAACTCGTTATAAATATCATTCCAGTATTTGCCAATGGCTACACAGGTCCACCACATATGATAGTATGACCACTCCTCTTTTTTGCATCTCCAACAGGTTGATGTTTTCCCTTTATACAGCAAGCTTTTTGGGAGTAAGATGCCTTCTATATACAATTTTCATAGTGTTTTCCCTGAGATTATAGCATGCTGCGAATTTAATGTCTGTTGTCCATAATCTCTCCCATTGCTCCATAAGTATATTATGCCCAAAGTCCTGCGCCCATTTAACCATAACTGCTTTACCTTGTTCCTCTTTTGTTTCCCATTCCAGATGATGCTCATACACTCGTGAAATATTTTCCTTTTTGTTAAATATTAATTCTCTTTCAAATCTAGATGTTTCCTTTGCAGTTCCTTGTTTTGAATCTATAGTTAATCTTTGATGTAGCTGGAATATTGTAGCCAATCTGTTAGCAAGTTTTTAATTTCCTCATATTTCTTCAATGTTGGTTTATCCTTACCTACTTCCAAGACTGATCTGTACGTCGGCCATTCTCCTTTCATGTTTCTTTTTTTAACTGCCATGGCTTCTGTGGGTGAGGTCCACAGGGGTATCTTTGGCTCCAATATTCCTTTGTATTTAATCCATATTTTGTACTGTATAATGATTTCCTTATCACATGGCTCAAAAATCCACTGTGGGCTTTCACTTTGTCATATACTAAATACGCGTGCCAGCCATACCTATTATTTAGGCCTTCTAGATCTAACACGTCAGTTTCTTTTAACACAATCCACTCTTTTATCCATTGCATTCCTGCAGCCGCGTGATATAATTATTTTAACTAGAAATATAATCCATCAGTTTGTTCCTGCAGTGCTAAATGCTGATAGGCATATTCAAAGCCTCCATTTCCCCTTCTTTGTGGTCTTTTTCTTTAAATAAATCATAGAATCACTGAACTGTGGTGTTGGAAAAGACCACAAGGATCACCAACTCCAATAACCAAAATGCAGGAATCTTTTGCCCAGCGTGAGGCTTGGACCCCACGACCCTGAGATTAAGAGTCTCATGTTGTGCCGACTGAGCTATTCCAGCAGACTGGTTGGACTGGAAAACCCTTCAAGGAGAGAAATCTTTCAAATAAAGGACTGTCTTTTTATTCAGAATAATTGTCACACACAGGAGGAATAAGGATATGGAATGCTTCACCTACGGGTTTAAAAATCACTCAATGTGTCAAGATGAATAGATGTCATTAATATTGCAGTTGTTGTACAGTCCTACCTCATGTTGAATATGCTTCATGTTGAGCGTGTCCGAGTTGTGCTCCGTGGCAACTGGAAGTAACGGAGCGCGTTACTTCTGGGTTTCGCCACTCGCGCATGCGCAGACACTCAAAATGACGCCATGCGCATGCACATAAGCGGCAAAAAGCGACACGCATGTGCGCAGACATGCCGTCGCTAGTTACATTTGCTTCTGGATGCGAACGGGGCTCCAGAACGGATCCCGTTCGCATCCCGAGGTACCACTGTATAACGGAGTTTGGAATGCTAATGATAAGAGTTTGGAATGATTAAATGCCAATATAGTTAATAGTTTCCATATTGGCCTTATTTCCAGGCGACCGGGGGAACCTCCACTTGACAAAGGTTTCATTCCTTGGCTTGGGCACGCGCTGGAATTTGGCAGAGATGCCGCCAAGTTCATGACTGACATGAGGAAGAAGCATGGGGATATTTACACAGTGAGTACCAAGTCCTCTGCGTGAGTCACCTTAGCATTTAATTTTACATTATTGTTTTTCGAAGGTGATGAATGGGTGCCACCATGACTCAGGCCCTGGTCTCCTGCTCCCCACATCACCAGTGCTGTTGGTCAGAGGATGTGCCTGTAGCAGGGCAGGAGATTAGCAGCATTTAGCAGAGAGATGCTAGGACAAATGTCACCAATATGGGGTCTGTGGATCCTCTACCCACCCACTAACTTTCCCTCTTCGTCATGAGTGGTGAAGATATTTACCTTTTTTCCCCTTGAGTACATAAAGCTGAAGGAGGAAGTTGGTAGGGTGACACACATTCCCTCTTTCTCTTTTGATTGTATGTGCTTTCCAGGGTTCAGATTAATTCTACTGGGTCAAACTTTTACCCAAATTACTTAGGATATGTGTATGCACTTTCTCTTTCTGTGTCTCCATGTGCGTGCACTGTGTGTGTGTGATTTAGGGAGTAAGGAAGAAAGTGACCCTAGAGCAGGTGTCCATGGGACTCACTCATAGGCCTAAAAAGATGGGCGAGCCCTGTGCTAAGGGCTGGGGATAAGCAGCGAAGTGTTGCCTAACAGAGCTGTGTGTGCCCAGTGGCCAGTCCAGCACCCCTGAAGCTGCTGCGATGGATGACACTGTCCCACCACCAGTGTTGAAGTAAGATTTAAATGCCTGCCCAGTTGAGTTTGAGAAGAGCACTATCTCTATCTTGTCCTTTGCCTCGGGCATCTCAGTGTCTTGAGCCATTCCTGAACTGTTGACAACTTGTTGACCCTAGTTTTGTAGGAGAAGCCCAGAATTCCTTTGAGTCCTGTGAAGCAGGTGATCCCGGAAAGCTGGTCTAAATTTAGAAAAAAATCCTAGATCTTCTGCTCTCCCTCACTCTCAATAACCAGCCTCCCGTTTCCCTCTATGCTTTCATTCTGCTCTAAGTACTTTACTAACAGACCAATCCAACTCTGACACTGGGTTGTGGGTCAGTTGGATTGAGTGGAGGTGTCTGTCCACCCAGCTCTACTAGCTGAACCAGACCTCTCATTTGCCCAGCTCCACTTGGTTCTGAATAGGTGGGCAAATGAGAGGTCTACTGGCACTATCTCCACCCAGTGGAAAGCCCTGAAGGAGGCACCGGAGCTGAAGTCTGGATGCACGGTGCGATGCAGTGGTGCGGCAGGTGGCGGTGCTGCAGTGCTGTGCGTGGCAGTCAGCTCAGCAGAATCCCCCCTTCATCGCCAGTGAAATATACTCGGAGTCGAGTGTGAATTTCATGCTCTTTATTCAGCTCATAGTAGCAATGAATGAAATTTTCCCCAAAATGTCTAGCTATATATACATTATTTACACAATGGGCCCCGCGTGATTGGCTAATTCCAGGCTGCTCCTGTAGGCCAATCAGGTTGCGGATTCACCTCCTCCAGAAGCCTGATTGGCCACTCCTGCAGGCCAATCAGGTTGCTGATTCACCTCATCCAGGAACCTGATTGGCTGCTCCTGCAGGCCAATCAGGTCGCTGATTCACTTCCACCTGGAGCTGGATTGGGTGGCTCCTGCGGACCAATCAGACTGCTGCATTCTGGATCCTATTGTTCTAGGATTCAGCTCAGTACATAACAGGTGGGTAGGGCTGAGCTGGCCCAGGATCTGCTGGATCCCAAGCTGATCTCACTGCTATCACCAGCCAGCATAAGGCCCATTCACGACCCAAATGCATTATATGTAGTGCTATTTTTCTAGAAAAAGAGGTGCCGGAACTCACCATGAACACCTCCCTTGTTCTCTTATAACGGTGCCCTCCTGAGAGGTGCCGGAACTGAGTTCTGGCGAGTTCCAGTTGAAGAAAAAGCCCTGATTGTATCCCAATAGCCAATTTCACACTCCAAAAAGCAAGAGAGAATGCAGCTGCTGTGCTTTCAATTCTCCTGTGCCTCTTCCACTTCTTTCGTGCCTGTGCCTGCAAACAAAATTCTTCTTTTGCCTCACGGGAGATGAAGGTGGGTGATGGGATAATTGAAGCAATGGGGTGGGACAAGGCAAAGCAGCTGCATCCTGTCTTGCAGCTTTTCAAAAGCCAGGCACCATCTCTAGATGATGACCAAGCAACCTGAAGTGTGAGAAGCTTTGTGTACAAAATAGTCTACACAGGGATAGCTTTTATGTGATCTTCCCTTTACAGGTCACAGAGCAGCGTCAGTTTTACATAATGACACAGTGCCTTCATGTTTAGACAGCTCATCTGTGCAGCCTCCTGTTGCTCAATACATAATTCTTCAGAGAGAGAAATAAACTCGTAGGGAGATCTTGCACTATTAGGGAACACCAGCCGTTCTTGCTGACCCACAGCCTTCTTCTCTTCAAGCATTGCTTCAAGGGAAACCCATGGCAACAGCCCTGTGCACAGGAATCAGTGAACAAAGTTATGACACAGTTTTACCATTTGGGAAACCCTTGAATTTTATTCATTGTAGTGCAGAGGTAGTTAACCCCTTTCCAGCCTGGGGGTTGCACTCTGGGCTGGCCAACTCTCCGAAGGCCACTTGTGAGTGGTGGTTGCGGGTGCCTTTGCCACTGAAAACATGCTCTGGCCAGAATGCATGGCGCCACCGCACATACAGCTCATATAAACCCACACGAAACCACACACATTCACCAGAATTGTAACAGGCACCAAAGGCAGATCAAAAGTCTTCTTCTGTGACATTATCTAACACAGACACACAGACCACCCACATGTCACACAGACAGGAACGTGCCACACAGTTGTGCGATGTGCTGCTGGTCTTTTTCTTTTTTTTTTAATCATTTTTATTAAATTTTCCACTTTAACAATCCAATCAAATCACATCAAATATTCCAAATTATACATGTACATATGAAATAATCCAAATATTCTGCCAAATTATAATTTTTTTAATAGGACTTCCCATGCTTCAAGTTTGGCGGGTTCTGATCATCTCATATCTCTACTGCTTTTCATAGTCATTTCCGATGGCTCCTCTAATTCTTCTTGTTGTTAACTTTCCTTCTTTCACGGCCTCTGAGTTGTTCCCACAAGCGAGTTGAAACAAGCAATGATGTGTTTCTGTGTGGATTTTATGCCTATGATTCCTCTATAAGTTTACAGCATCTCCTCACACGCTGGTGTTTCTGCCGAATCAATCCAAAGGTCTTTTCGCTGCTGGCAGCCGCCATCTTCACTCAGTTCCGATGAAATCAAGTCTAAGTGTCTGCTCATTAATTTTCCCAGACGGGTTGCATCAAACATTAGCCTTTCCAGGGGAGATTTACCAAATCAAACTGGAAATACAAATATTGAAGGTTCACCTCCCCCTATGGCTATTTGTAATTCTGCAGCTCGGTCTTGACTTCCATCATGGCGGATTTCCAAATTTAAAAGTGCGACACAGCTCCTACACAGATTCTAGGAAACCGTCCAAAGATTTTTAACATCTCTCCAGTGGCTAATGAGATCCTTCTTCTGTCTAATATCAAGAAATTGGAGAATCTTTTATCCTCTTCCAAGCAAATCAAAGATCAAAAGCCTTAATTATATAATATTGTGATGTGCTGCTGGTCTTGGTGGAGAGGTTAGGTTTAAATCTTTCTACCAAGCTCAGTGCTGCATTTGGGGAGATCTCTGCATCTCAGCACGGGATTGGGGTTCTAAACCTCTCCATCAAGCCCAGTGCTGACCTGGGAGGGGGGAATCGTCACCAGAGTAGTCTCTGAAAAGCAGTGACAGATATTTTCCCACCCATCACAACACGATGCAGGGAGAAGAGGAACCACCCCTCCCAGTGCAGTGCTGTGATGGGGAAGAACATGGGGCTGATAGGAACCATATTGGCTCATTTAAGAACCTTCCCAAGAGGGAATAATGGAAAGTTTGCTATGCAGCTGTTTCATTGCTGGTGCTATAAATATATGGCACCTAATTGCATTTGCTTTTATTTCTTGGGGGCTTGCAATGCTACTGGTTAAACATGGATTTGGAAAGCAATTGTATGACACATTTATTTCTAGGGCCACATTTATATTTTCACTTCCTTTACGCACGAGTTTCGTATTTTCGTGATTTGCTTGGCTTGTTTGTATTTCAGGTTCAAGCTGCAGGGAAATTTGTCACCGTTTTGCTGGACCCCCATTCCTACGAAGCAGTGCTTTGGGAGTCACGTTCCAAGCTGGACTTTGGCCAGTATGCCCGCATTTTAATGGACCGAATGTTTGAAGTCAAGCTGCCGGATTATGACCCTAATGCGGAAAAGGTCATGATGAGAATGTAGGTGCCTTTTTTACATGAACAGTGCTTGCAAAAGCCAAGCCGCCATACCATGGACCATCTATTTATTTGTTGCATTTGTGTTCCACCATTCCTCCAAGGAGCTCAAGGTGGTGACCCCCTCCCCATTTTATCCTCACAACAACCCTGTGAGGTTAGGCTGAGCAGCAACACTTGGCTTAATGTCATCCAGTGAGCTGGCTTGGCCTAAAGGGACTTGGCATCCAACATCATAGAAGGGACCACAAGGGTCCTCTATAGATAAAGTAAAGGTAAAGGGACCCCTGACCATTAGGTCCAGTCATGACCCACTCTGGGGTTGCGGTGCTCATTTCGCTTTATTGGCCGAGGGAGCCGGCTTCAGCTTCCGGGTCATGTGGCCAGTATGTCTAAGCCGCTTCTGGCGAACCAGAGCAGAGCATGGAAACGCCGTTTACCTTCCCGCTGGAGGTTTACCTTCCCGTTTACCTATTTATCTACTTGCACTTTGACGTGCTTTCGAACTGCTAGGTTGGCAGGAGCAGGGACCGAGCAACGGGAGCTCACTCCGTCACTGGGATTCGAACCGCCAACCTTCTGATCAGCAAGTCCTAGGCTCTGTGGTTTAACCCACAGCACCACCCGCATCCCTTCCTCTATAGATAGATGGATTGAATTTATATACCGCCCTATACTCGGGTGTCTCAGGGCAGTTCGACTCCTGTAAGGCAGGGATCGTTTTGCCCAGAGTGGAGCTCAAATCCATGACCCTGATATTAAGAATCTCACGCTCTAGCAATCCAGAGGGCTGCTTTTTCCTCTTCCTTCTTTAAAGGTCCTTACAAGAAGAGATGGATAAGCAGCTTGGCTTTGTAAATATTGTTGTTTTCAGAGTCTTCCTGTAGAATCTCAAATTTTGAATGGTGTCTGGGTTTTAATCTTTTGTACCGGGGAGGGGGGGAGGTGGGTCTCTAGCATAGCCACAAACTGCATTAAACCCTTAAAACTGAGGGGGAGGGCAGAGGGAGAACATAAACAACCAGACCTCAGAGTTTACGCTGGCAAACGAAAAGGAAAAAACAACAACACTGAGGATAAATGCTCATTTGATGGAGCTGGAGTCACATGACTGGAAGCATTAGATAACTGTGTTTACAGCTCAGTACTATTGGGCGGGGGCAGGGAATGATGCTGCAAGTTGCACTTGCTTGACAACAACCTTACAATGCCGGCACTTATATGAATGCTTTGTAAAGGCATATGCAACTTTGGGCCTGGATAGTTGGGAGAGCAGCTGATGTCATCTGGTTATAACTCTCCAATTGCTGGCATCTGCAAGAGAGGCTCTCTTGGTTGCCCTGCCTTTAGCTGATGCTTATTATGCAGCAATATGGGGGGCAGCCTTCTCGGTGGTGGCACCCCAGTTCTGGAATTCCCTCCCCTACAAGATACAACTGGCACCAACTCTCTTGAGTTTTTGGCATTAGCTGAGGAGCTGGTTGATTATTTCTAAATTTTGCAGAAAGTGGCTTGTGTAAGGTCGCTTGGTGAGCTCATAGCAAAGGTGAGATTGGAACCTGGTCTGCATTTCCGTCTCTTTGTCTCAACTCAGGGGCGGGAAACCTCTGGCTTGCAGGATAATCTGTGGGAAACATGCTGTCGAAACAGACTTCTGCAGCCAGCAGGATGAGTGGACAATACAATCCTGCTCAGTTTGGCTGTACAGTGGTGCCTTGCAAGACGAAAATAATCCATTCCGTGAGTCTCTTCGTCTAGCAGTTTCTTCGTCTTGCGAAGCAACCCTATTAGCGGATTAGCACTATTAGCGGTTTAGCGGCTTAGCGGCTATTAAAGGCTTAGCGGCTTAGCGGCTAAAAGGCTATTAGCGGCTTAGCGGCTTAGCAAAAGGGGGGGGGAGCGGAAAAAATCGCAAGACATTTCCGTCTTGCGAAGCAAGCCCATAGGGAAAATCGTCTTGCGAAGCGCATTGAAAAATGGAAAACCCTTTCGTCTAGCGGGTTTTTTGTCTTGCGAGGCATTCGTCTTGCGGGGCACCACTGTACCTGCCTGTTCCCCTGCTGGGAACAGGTGTGCACAACCTAAGTGCAGTGTGGGGCTTTTTGAAAGCTCTTTTGCAAACAGTCCGGTGCTGCTCTTTAAGCTTCTGGTTTTGGAGATTGAGAGAGTCATTTGGGGGTATTGTAAAGCGGTTTTCAAATAGCTCCATTCTGCACTTTGAAGTTCTGACATTACTTGATGTCACTATGGTTTCAGGTGATTGACAGGTGTGTGGCCCCAGCCACATATACAATTTGGCCCTGCAGGGGTGGAGAAATAAGGATATGGCCTGCTGGTTAGAAATGGTTTCCTATTCCTTCCCCAGCCGATGATTCTTTTATTGTGAAGATGACACTGTACAAGGGAATCCTGTTGCTTCTGGTTTCTTCTGATATTAATAATCGGGAGTACTCTTATTACACCTCAGTTGAATGGATCACAGAGATGTGCATTACCACCTCCTTAGGTAAAAGCATAACCAGTGGATCGAATTAATGTTGGCTAATGTAAACAAGGAGTGGCTCTGCTGGATGCAAGTTCCTTGTGAAAGCTTTACTTGTGGAAGTTTCCCAGTGAGCGGGCCAAGAAAAACAGAGTCATTTAGTCCCCTGAGGTGTTCAGTAACAGAATGGTTCTCAAAGAAGCAGTCGATGTAGCTTTGGGTAATGAAGGCTGCATGGTGTATGGGGCAGAATGTGGAGAGTTCATGTCTCAGTTCAGTAGTGAACCTTGCTGCAGAATTTAAGGGCCAGACATCTTCTCCCTGCCTAACCTACACTGCAGGGTTGTTGGGAGCATAAAACAGAAAGAAATGCTGCCTGACCTCTTTGGAGGAAAGATGAGGTGCAAATGTGACAGATATGTAAATAGAAGATAGTGGCTGCTCAGAAGGGCACCAAACCATACAGTAATGTTGGCCACACTGTCAGCTTTGGGTCTTGTTATGTGGGGGCCTTTCTCTGTCTCTTCTCAAGGCCTTATTCCCTCAGCATGTTATATTCTGCCTGTTCCTTTACACTTGTTCTAACAAAAACAAGCCCAAGAGCTACAATTTCCAGAGCTCCCTGTGAAGAGGGACAGTTAAACCACTCTGAAAACTGTTGCTCCATGAGGGGAGCAGGTGTCTCCTAACCTATTCTCAGAACCCGTAAGAGACTGAAGTTCCTAGAATTCTTTGGACTGTTGAAAGTGGTCCAGGTGGGGCCTGCCTGTATGTGCAGTGGCTCTGATGCGTGGACATCAGAAATAAATTCAAGGCTTTCGTGTTCAGTTCAAAAAAGGGCATGTGGCAAATTGGCTGCCATTAATGAACTAAGAATGCACCCCCAAGTACACCTGCCCTCTCCCGCAGTTGTTGCAGGGAAAGATTGATAATGGTACGTAGACGTATTTTAGGGAAGCTTGCCCAGCCTCACTGGTCGGGAACGCTCTGAGGTTCATTCCAAAAACTTGCTGTCTATGGCTTGCTTTTTCCCTCCATTAGCCCTTTTCTCTGTGAATTGCCACCCTTTGGTCATTATGGCTTTTTACGGAGAATCCAGATTTTGCTTGATTGTAAACTTGCTGCAGTCCAGTTAATTTTTGTGTTGTCCTCCTTGTTATTGTTCAGATCTCAGTTGTGCGGCATTTTTAGCTGCTGTGGTCGAATGGGACTGCAGCTCAGGCAAAGCAACTGTGGATGATCGTGTCATTAATTTAAAGACTCCTGTTTGCAAGTCCTGCTCTTTGTATTGCTTCCTGTTCCTGCTGAGAAATATGATGAGAGCCCCTTAATTGGCACCGTGACAGCTTCTCCTCCAGATGGGCTAGTGGGGAGCTTTAAGTTACTGTATTCAGGAAAAATGACTACAGCAGAGGGAGACTCTGAACACTTTCACCATTAACAGTAGTTTTGTGAGTTCAGTCCTTCAAGAATTCACAGTGTGTAGCAGCAGATAAGAAAGCCAATGTCACATGTGTTGCAGTTTTCAATGGGATTGCATTGTTCATGACTGAAACATTCTAAATCTTGCCTCTTACTGTTATTTTAATTGCTACTGTCCCTGATTTAAATTCTACACTTTGTAACAGGGCCTGTAACAAAAGAAAAGGAACTTATGTCTTATGAATGGTTAAACTGCACCTTTAATAAGCTCTTGCTTTTATTCTTCTAAAGAGGTTTGTTTTGTCCCACTTTTCCTTCCCCAGGACTCTGCAGAACAAGAATCTCCCCACCCTAACAAAGGCAATGTTCTTCAACTTACGAACCATTCTGCTTTCTGACCCAGATAGAGCCAGCCAGCAGTGGAAAGAGGAAGGTCTGTTTCACCTCTCCTACAGTACAATGTTCAGGTGAGCACAGCATACCTAAGCCCTTTCCTCTGATACAGGAAGATGGTGGTGAGGTCTGCTCAGGGCCAGCATATATTTATTCAGACAGTTTATATATCGCTTAGTTGCCATCATCTCGAAGTGATGCACAAGAAACTCAGTATAATCAGTTAACATTATAACGTCAGAATTCAGTTAAGCTACCTGCTGGAATAAAAAAGTATTCAGTGGGTGCTGGAAGTTCAACAGGTGGGGAGAGGGCTGTCTGTCTCAACTGGAAAGGCATCTCATAAAACTGGGCTCGCAATATCAACCCAATGGCTCCTTGTGGATACAAGCCATGCATCAGAACCATGGGCGGCCACCAGTAGTGACTTGGCAGGGATATAAGGGATCAGGTGGTTCCTACATCAGATACCCCAGTAGTGATGTATGGATGTGAGAGCTGGACCATAAAGAAGGCTGATCACCAAAGAATTGATGCTTTTGAATTATGGTGTTGGAGGAGACTCTTGAGAGTCCCATGGACTGCAAGAAGATCAAACTTCTCCATTCTTAAGGAAATCAGCCCTGAGTGCTCACTGGAAGGACAGATTGTGAAGCTGAGGCTCCAATACTTTGGCCACCTCATGAGAAGAGAAGACTTCCTGGAAAAGACCCTGATGTTGGGAAAGATGGAGGGCACAAGGAGAAGGGGACGACAGAGGACGAGATGGTTGGACAGTGTTCTCGAAGCTACCAGCATGAGTTTGACCAAACTGCGGGAGGCAGCGGAAGACAAGAGTGCCTGGCGTGCTCTGGTCCATGGGGTCACGAAGAGTCGGGCACAACAAACAAAACAACAACAACAACACATCAGATACCCAGTGGCATCACTGGGTACCAGGTGGGACTCTCCTAACTCACCAGGGGACCCATTGCCAACCCTCTGCTTTTCTTCCTCCCTGCTCTTGCTACCCGTTTGCCATTCCTCACAAGGAAAATGAACAGCAACAGGAAGGGAGAGAAGGAACAGCAGCATCCATCGGACCTTGCTCTGTCCCTCTGGGTGAGTCTGCAAACTTACCATCCCATAGGTTGAGGGGCAAGCAAATAGGCCAGGGAGATAGCAGTGAGGAAGAGGAAGAGCAGTGAGGAAGAGAGCATCTTGCCCAAAGGCCCCCAAAACATGGGTCTGTATAGGAAAGGAAGCTTGGTCTTAATTCTTAAGTGAAATCTGCAACGGTGTGTCCTTAGGAATGAAATTGGCACTGTTCATTTCCTTGTCTATCCTTCCACCATCCTGCAGAATGTGGAGAAGAATACATATTGAATGTCTAAATGGACATTGGCCTTGTAGAACACCACTTTTAATGAGAAATAAAACACAATTTAAATATCAAATGGACCTTTAGGCCCATTGGGGATCTGGCATGTATATTAGTATGTATCTAGCCAGGATCACACAGTGGAACATTTTCAGTTCAGAATCCAGCCTTCTGGGGAGAGTTTAAAGCACAGATGGGAAACTTGTGGCCTTCCAGCCATTTTTTGAATGATGTCACAACATTGGCCATGGTGGCTGAGATTAATGGGAGTAAGAGTCTAATAGCATCTGGAAGGCCACAGCTTCCCCGTCCTGCTCTGAAGACTGCTGGCCCTCACTTTTTTACAAAAGTTATCAAGAGTTGTAACCCAAGGTGACTTTGCACTTGTGGAAAGGACTTCTGCTTCCACATTGTGGGACACTGTTTTCAAAACAGATGGAAGCTGGTTTGAGGGAAGATGTGCCAGAGAACAGCATTTCTCCAGAAGCAAGAGCAGTTGTGGCTGATGTTGTGTGTACTCAAAGGAGCCTGAGTAAACAGCAATGTGTACACAGTCATTGTACACATTGTACACATAGTACACACCATAGATGGTGATATTGTCAATAGATGAGGAGGCCGATTATGAGAAAAATGGGATGGAAGAGATAAAACTCAGTTTTGGATATACTGAGCATGAGTCAAGCAAGAAGAATAGCAGAAAAGCAGATAGATATTTAATATAGATATGTATTTTCAAAAGGCACGCATAATGAGTTGAGGATGAAAGGGTTTGAATAGAGAGGTAGAGATGACACCATTTCCATATAAATGGTACTGAAAGTCATTGTAATTAATATGTAATCTAGATGACTGTGATAGTTATATTGCAAGAAAATAAAAGTATTTTAAAGAGGATTTTTATTGTTTCTATCCCCACTTGCCAGAGCTGGGTTCCTGACACTGTATGGCAATGAAGGCAAAGATTATGAGGACAGCAGGAATCAAGCTAAAGACCTGGCCTTCTCCCTGGATAATATACACTGAGTTTTATAAACTGGACCGTCTTTTGATGAAAGCTGCTCGCTCCATCTTGAGTGCAGGTTGGTGTGTCTGGTCAAGAACAATCATTCCCCAAACTCTGGTGCTTGGCAAATTGGCAGTGGTGTGTGGCTTGGCCTCCCAAAACAATGCACTTCATCACCAAACCTGGAAATTCATCTCTCAGCCTTTGTAGGCAGAGCTAACTGCTTGAGGCACCAGACTTGGGGAGAGCTCATGGGACTCTGGAGAATTGTAGGAGGCTGCCCCGCCCCAGCATTTGCTGCTTGAGGTGGCTGCCTCAATCTGCCTAATGTTAGGGTCGGCTCTGCCCTATCCCCCAACACACCTTTATTCATGTAAATTTATTTTTTGCATTTTAAAATTAAGTTATGTGTATTTGTATAAATGCATATGTTTATGTGTGCGCATGCACACACACACACACACACACACACACACACAGATCTCTAATGGATCTTGGATAGCCTTAGGATTTCAGAACCGGAAGGTAATTTGAAAGCAATCTACTCCAGCTTCCCTGCTTTGTGCAGGAATTTTGCAATAACAGATTCCTACGCAGATGGGCCTGATGGGCCTCTTAGTTCATCTAAGTGAAGGCAAGTCCAGCACCTCCCAGGGAAGCTTTCTATACTGTCGAGAAGCTCTTGCTGTTAGGACCTTCTCCTCATGTTAAGCCCAAATCTGCCTCCTTGCAATTTCCACCCATTTGTTTTGTCTTGCCCACTGGACCAAAAGTACACAAGTCTGCACCACCGTCTAGATCTGGTGACCCATCACCATTGAGCTCTTTTGCTAAACCAGCAGAGCTTCCATCCCACTCCTTTTCCACCGCTGCCGGAGCCATCTCTACCTTGGGAGCATTTTGGGTTAGGCCGTGTCCCTCAAGTTTCATTCTCATGTCTTCAGAGTTTTGGCCGCGGCAGCTGCTGCTCCACTAACCAGATGTTCCCAGTTGCAAAAAACGAGCCCATAACACTGCTGCATAAATGTGATCCGACAGTAACAGAAATGTAGCTTCCAAGAAGGACTAGACTACTTAATGTAGAGAAGCTATTATGAGCAGTAGATGGTGCTATTGTGCAACCTTTCAGGTCCTTTTGCCTTACAGGGAGTTGTGGTTTGCTTGTTTTTTTAAGGAATAGATAGATCTGGTTACCCCAGGGTCAGCAAACTTTTTCAGCAGGGGGCTGGTCCACTGTCCCTCAGACTTTGTGGGGGGTCGGACTATATTTTTTGGGGGGAAATGAACGAATTCCTATGCCCCACAAATAACCCAGAGCTGTATTTTAAATAAAAGCACATATTCTACTCATGTAAAAACACCAGGCATGCCCCACAAATAACAGAGACGCATTTTAACTAAAAGGACACATTCTACTCATGTAAAAACACGCTGATTCCTGGACCATCCGTGGGCCGGATTCAGAAGGTGATTGGGCCAGATCCAGCCCCCGGGCCTTAGTTTGCATACCCATGGGTTACCCATTAGAATGATACTTGCAGAATAGTGGGAAAACTATGAGGACTACTACTCAAACAGTGGAAACCTCCATGGCAGCAGAGTTCCACCACTGGCATAGCCCAGCAGAGGGACCACCACCTAATCCTAACTCCTCTCTTCCAATAGTGCTTATTATGGGGTTAGAATTCTGCTCTGTGCTGTACACATATCAAAAGATAAGACAGTCCTTTTCTGCAGACTTACAGTCTAGTAGACATGATTCAAAAGGAAAGGGGAATGGGGAGGGAAGAGGAATGCAAGTATCCGAACAGTTCCTCCTCCTCTAGCTGGTTGATGGGGCCCAACTAGTCCTTACCATGCCATTATACACCTCCTGGGAGGCAAAGGTTTCAGCCTCTGCTCACTGACAAAGACCAGAGTGTGCTTCCCTTTATCTCTGCAATCCCAGGGTACTGCTTAGAGTTCTCCTGGATTCAAATTCTTGCTCAGCTATGAATGGTGGCATTGGAGAATCTTTCAGTATACCTACTGATTTATGAAATCATTTGTCTCCCACCTTTCATTCTTAACAAGGACCCTCAAGATGGCTAACAATTAAAATTGGAGTTAATGCATATAATGCAATAATCTAAGGCAATCTGAGATAATACCATTATCTCACAGGGTTGTTGTCCGGAAAAAATGAGACGGCCCCATATGTGCTTTTCTGACCCCTTGTGGGAGGAGGTATATTAGTGCAATCACAATAATACAACATCCATATTGATGCCACTGGTTTTTGTATGTGCAGCGGAAAAGAAGGAAATCAACAGCCTTAGGAAGCACCTCTGGAAGTTACTATCTGTGAAGAGACTGGATTGCAGAGCTAACCGAAGTGTTTGGCTGGACAGCTACAAACAGCACTTGGTGGACCTTGGACTAGATGAAAATATGCAGACAAGAGCAATGCTGTTGCAGCTCTGGAGTACTCAGGTAGGAAATGCCACCATCCCACTTCCTCAATCGACACTTTCCTTTTGGAGTTTAAATGGTAGGCTTGACTCTCCACTTCCAAACTTCCATGCAACCTCAATTTTTTTTTTTATCACGAATGGGTGAAGTTAGGAACATGTACATTTTAATCTAAAGGCCTATCATTAATGTAAATGTAGCACGTGGGTGTGATTGCTGCATTTGTATATAGGTTCTCTGATATTTACTATGAAGACCTGCATGCATGCATTTGCCAAAGAGCTACCAGTGTGTTTTGACAGTGACAATCTGCTTCACAAGAGGGACTCTCTATCCTAGTGGAAACACAAGGTTTGCATGCAGAAGGTCTCAGGTTCAAACCCTGGCATCTCCATTTAGGGCTGAGGAGGTCACTTAAAATAATACCGACCAAGAACAAGAAGTATTATGTGATAACATAATATTGTATATAAACAGCAGAATGTATCATTTGATGCAATAAGCCAGAAATGGTAGTTGAGGGAAGTCAACAGGGAGGGAGGAAATTGGGAAATGTATGTTTAACAATGATATTGGATATTTGTTTTCAGAAAAGAAAATTAATAAAAATTATTTTTAAATAATAATAATAATACAGTCATACCTCGGGTTAAAGTAGCTTCGGGTTGAGCGTTTTCGGGCTGCACTCCACAGCGACCCAGAAGTAACAGAACGTGTTACTACCAGGTTTCACCGCTCGCGCATGTGCAGATGCTCAAAATCATGTCACACACATGCGCAGATGCGGCGAATCGCAACCTGCACAGACGCGGGTTGCGTTCACTTTAGGATGCGAACAGGGCTCTGGAACGGATCCTGTTCTCATCCAGAGGTACCACTGTACCGACCAACTGGATAGCTCAGCTGGTTAGAGCGTCTTGCTGATAACGCCAAGGTTGCAGGTTTGAGCCCCATATGGAAAAGCTGCATATTCCTGCATTGCAGGGGTTTGGACTAAATGATCCTCAGGGTCCTTTCCAACTCTATGATTCTATTACCTTGATGGGATAAAGCCTGACTTGGTATAAAACAGTTTACTACTAGGGGAGTATCAGTAGTGGCAGAAGAACATTGTATTCAGGAGCCCCTAATCAGTTTCCAGAGGAACCTTTTTGAGCACGCTCTGAAAACCACTGCATGCAACTTGCTTTTCTGCTGCTTCCACCTGTAACCCCGCGGGCCCCCCCCCCACATTCCACACGCATTAGTGTAGCTGCCCCAAATGACATTGCACTCTACAGTTTCCCTAGCAGATGACAGGAATTTTCTGGAATGCAGTCTCCAAGGAGGCGGAAGAGACTTTATTCCACCACCACCCCATAAAGCACGAATAAACGCATTTGCTTGCAACATGAATGATTAAAACCTTGTGCACTTTGTCCCCTCCTTTAAATGCCTGCACTTTAATTAAAAGAGCAGTCGCCCTCCTTGAAAAGTTGTGCGGAATAAACTTGCATCCTCGTCTCCAAAAACAGCATGAATTATGTATGCCCTGCGCTCCTCTCTGTTGGGTTTAATGTACTATAGATGTACTTGCTATCAGCGATGGTGCTATATTGCATTTCACTTAATCATCACAATTTTAAAAAGAAAAGCAGAGGAAAAGTACACAAAGCTTGGTCCATCGGATATTTTTTTTACCCTTGATTTTCCATGGAGTGCATTTTCCAGATTCTAAAATACAGTGGTGCCCCGCAAGACGAATGCCTTGCAAGACGGAAAACCCGCTAGACGAAAGGGTTTTCCGTTTTTGAGTTGCTTTGCAAGACGAATTTCCCTATGGGCTTGCTTCGCAAGACGAAAATGTCTTGTGAGTCTTGCCATTTTTTTTTCGCTCCCCCCCTTTTTTCTAAGCCGCTAAGCTGCTAATAGCCTTTTAGCAGCTCAGCCGCTAAGCCTTTAATAGCCACTAAGCCGCTAAACCGCTAATAGCGCTAATCCGCTAAGCCGCTAATGGGGTTGCTTCGCAAGACGAAAAAAACCGCTAGACGAAGAGAATCGCGGAACGGATTCTTTTCGTCTTGCGAGGCACCACTGTAGATTTGCCATCCTGGGTGCAAAGGGGCAGGTGGGAAACTTCCCTATGCAAAGACAACCTGTTTTTATAATTAGGAAACTCTGAAACCCTCTTCAAAAGTTCACCTGCTACATGATTAGGATAGTGCATGGAGGAGAATGGAGATGAGCTCAACAGCTCCATCCTTTTATGTCACCTCTTGAACTCTCAGATCCGTAACTTTCCACGGCTTGGGAACTGAACTGCTTTGGCAAGCAACCTTCTCTACTTGTGTCTGCTCTCCACACATTTTGAAAGCCTGGAAGACCAGGGTTCTAGATTGTACAGTGCATGTGTACAGCACAGGCTCCCTGCTACAGATATTCAGCCCCAGACATGTGGAGGGCTATGATGAGAACATGATGGAGGGGGCATGTTCAAGCTAGATGCTAAAAACTTGAGCGGAGCTGAAACTGTCCCTTGCATGATTCCAGTTACATGGAGGAAATGCACTTCAAAGGGGGCTTGAGTTCTCAGCTGTTCATTTAGCACTGATGGTCAAACTCTCGCTCCAGGTTCAACACATCTAGGAAGAGTGGCATAACATTGTAAATGGGTCATGGGGGTGAGGGGAGCGGTATGCCCTGGGTGCCATCCGGGGGAGGGGTGACATCGCAGCCGCCCTCACCCCCTGGGACGCTTGCCTCTTGCTGTACACCCCCAGGACGCACACCGCTTGCTGCACACACACCCTGATGCATGCCACGCCCCCTGGGACGTGTGCCAGCCATGCCCCCAGATGTACACCGCCCCCAGTGCTGGAGCAGGTAGCTTCGCCACTGCCTGGAATTGAAGCTGGCACCTTTCGCATTCAACTTTCCTGGCACTTTTTCTCCATATGGCCATTGGCTGCAGCAAGCTTAATGCAACAAGCCAACCTCATAAGCTAGGTCTAAACAAAGCACAAGACTAGAGCAAAAGCTGTGAGGTTTAGGAAAAATTGGGGGGGGGGGAGCAAATATCTCACTTTTTCCTTTTTTTTTTACTCTCTTTTGCTTTGTTCAGCCTTTAGAGAGCAGTATAACCATTCTTTTCCAGCTCGTTCCTGTAGTTCAGATTGCTAGAAGCCTTGTTTTTGAACAAGAAGCGAGATGTAGGAATTGTATAGAGAGAAAGGGATGTACTGTGGCTCAGTAAAAGGACACACACCATGCACGCAAAAGGTCTCGCGTTTCATCTCTGGGATGGGATGTGAGAAGGCAGTGATTTCTGTACTCATCACAATCTGTTCTGCTTCCATTCTGCAGCACTTTGGTTTCCACCAAATACTACATTATTCACCATGCTGTCTGCTATGGCTGAATTTATGTCGTAATTTCTGTTACCATTATCACCATGTATTCAACCATGCTTGGTTCGGGTGCATGAGCTCTGGCGCACCGAAACCCTAAGGAGAACTTACATAATTTGCATATTTATGAAACCTTCCTAACTTATATTCATTGCAATGTAAGGGAGGTAGATTGAGATGCAAAGTTACTCACACACACACACACACACACACACACACACTCCATCCAAACTCTCTCCAACATAGTCAGTCAGGGGTTGAGATTGCCCTGCAACTGGTGCCCATTGATTTCAACAGGTCTGCTCTAAAGGTATGACATGGGTACAAGCCTTCATGTTCTGCTTTCGGCTTTGATTCAATTACAGTGGTACCTCGGCGGCGCGGTGGCAGCAGTAGGCCCCATTAGCTAAAGTGGTGCTTCAGGTTAAGAACAGTTTCAGGTTAAGAACAGACCTCCAGAATGAATTAAGTTCTTAACCCGAGGTACCACTGTATATGCCTAAATTCACAGGGCTTGTCCAGGCTCCTTCTGTTGCTGTCTTCCTGATAAAAGAATTGTCAGATGCTTTGAGTTTCTGAAGGAGCCGATTAGGTCTGGGAATACTACCATTAATAATGCACAAGTGCTTGAAAGGTATTTATCAGCCTTTCAGGACAATCCTTCAAGAACCAGCCTCTTGTTAATTTACTTTCATGTTATGGATACAATTGGTGTTCTTTACAAATGAAAATGATATTTACAGTGACTTGTGTTTTGTTTCCGTATGTTGTTGTAGTAGATGCTTTATTGATTCATGAGTTGTTGTTGTTTTGTTGTTGTTGTTATTGTTGTTGACAATCTTGTTGTTGTGTTTATTTTTAGAGTAATGCAGGGCCTGCAGTTTTCTGGCTTCTCCTGTTTCTTTTAAAATACCCTTCAGCCATGGCAGCAGTTCAAGGTGAAATGGAAGCAATTTTTCGAAGTAGAAGACAAAAAATTGGACAAATGCATGGAATCAGCCAAGAGATTTTAGACTGCACACCCATTTTTGGTTAGTAATCTCACATTTGGAGCCAGCCTCAGGCAATTCGATACCTTCCATGAAACTTTTTTTTTAAATAAAAAACATGTTATTTATTATTACATGTATCTCCTGCCTTTGCTCCAGAGAGCAAGGTAGCATATATGGGTTCTCCCCATCCCTATTTTTTTGCCTCAACAATCCTGTGAGGTAGGCTAGGCTGCCAAATGGTGCCTGGGTCTAGGTCACCCAGTGAGTTGCATGGATAAGTGTGGATTTGAACTCTGGTCTCCCAGGTCCTAGCCCAACACCCTAACCACTAGACCACACTAGCTCACAGCAGTACCACTGGCTCCTGGAGTCCCTGCATCCATCCCATGTGCATTCTTTGACATCCAATTTCCCTTCACATGTGGACCCAGGGCCACCAGATTCTCTACTGTCCCTACATTTCTGTGGTCTGAGTTGCACTGTTTCCAGATACCCCTATCATGGTTATAGCTGTCTCCATGAGCTTCCCAGTTACTCAGTCTTTCTGAATCTGCGCAGAGCCGGCCCTATCATTAGGAAGTGTAAGGCAATCATCATTGGGGCAGGGCCTACATACTTAAAGCAGGATCCCTGCTTCAGACCTTTAGCCTCAACATGTGGTCATGAGGGGGCATAATGGTGGGGGCACGGAAAGCATCTGCCCCTCAGACAACTGTAATCACCTGAGGAGAGAACAACTGAAGCGGCCTAATATCTGCACTTCTGTGCAGGAAACGGTACATAACTCTCATATGATGGCGCCTACTCAAGTATTCCATTACATGAGTCCTGTTTCAGTCATGCTGGGAACCTACAGGGAGCTGAGCAAGACTTGGAAGGACTGGTTTTGAATGGGAGACCATCAGAAGCTGGTGTTACCATTAAACTTTACAGGACCTTGGACAGGTCCTAGGCACCCATGAATTACTTCAACAATGCTCACATAACCAATTGAGGTCCTAAGTCATGGTGGTGGCCTCTTCAGTGCTTGGGCAGAACCCTGGTTTGAGAACCCTGGCATTCTCCTGGTACAATTTCTATCTTCTCATTCAAGAGATTAGAGGACTTTGGGTCCATGACGAGTCGGTGGAGCTCCTCATTGGAGGAGCCTGAAACTACTTCAGGGATAGAGTCAGACATCAAACCTCCCTATGCAGGGTGATCCATGGAGTGTTATTAATTACTGGGCCTCAGGCACATTTGGGAAGTCTAGGGTCCCTGAGGAAGACTCATATTTGTAGAAGCCTCGATCAATATCTGAAGAGCAATAAGTTGGCTGGCACTTAATACCTCTTTCACTCACTCTCACTCCCTCATTGCACCCTAAATTTATCTGAAATGCACATCTAAATTGCTGCTGAGCCTCCCCTGCAAGATTTATGTGAATGTGTGGTTATTCTTAATGCGTAGTCATAAAGGGAAAAGAAATACTTCTTCATTAGCATCTGCCAAATGTAGGACTCCAACATGCGCTTATATAATCATTGCACAAGCATCCGATTCAACATCAAATTTATTTGCATCTCTCAAGAGAAGTAAGGTTGTGCCTAATGTTCAGGGGTGAATATTCCTGGCATACAAAGGTCACATTCTACACCACCCCCTCCCATATCTGTACCTTTTCAGATTGGTTCACTGTCCCTCTGTGGAGCTGCTCCGGCACCATTTTTAAAATCCTCATTCTTGTTGGCTGCCTGATCCAGCCAGTCAAGGAGCACAAAGCCAGCATGATATCACAGTGCCACATAACCAATCAGGGCTGGCTATGTGATGATGTCATCAGTCCAATTAGAGCGGCAGCCATGCCTCCTGCCCTCCCTTTGAATGAGCAACAGTCTTTGTCATATTTTGCAGGGCCTCCCAAGCTATCACAAAATCCCTCCACCCACATTTCATCTCATTGGGCAATGGAGGAATGCCCAAATTTCATTGTTGGCTTTTGGAGGAACACTCAGATAATTAAGGTATTAATTTACACAGCATTTCTAACTGATTGTGGACCTTAAAATCCCTAGTTTAGTCATCTCTTCCCTTCCAAATGTGGAGAAACAGTGGTGCAGCGTTGCCAACATTGAGATCAGAACTGAGAAATCTAAAAGACAACAAGGTAGCCCTAGACCACCATGTCCTTTCATTAGATTACTCCTTAGGCACAAGGAGTATTTTAAGTCACTACATCTTGTTCCAAACACTGCAACTCCTACATTTGCTGCATAGTGCCTTTGTCACCGACCATGTTTCCTTAAAGAGGAATGTTCATTAACTCTGTTCAAAACTGCTATTAAAACAGGGTTGATTTGTCCCGGCAGTGACACATTTTCACACCATTCTTCCTGCTAAAGATCAGCATATGCCGTGTAAGGACCTTTTTCGGCTGCTAGGGAAGATGGGCAATAAACCTGTTCAAACCAAGAATGCTCAAGGAGGATAAGACTCTAAGTACTAAGCACAACTGCTTGGAAGTACTTGTCCCATGGCAAAAAAAGAAGAAGAAGACGCTCCAAAAAAATCAGCAGATCCACACTATACATGTAAAGCATAGTCCATGCACAAACTACAGCTCCCAGTATTCCCAGTTGTTGTTGTTTTTTTGGGGGGGGGAGCCACTTGCTTTAAATGTGTGTTGAATAGCCTTTGAATGTATGCTGCGGATCTGCCCATAGAAAAATGCGTAGTTTATTGGGGAGAAAAATCCTAGCCTGGCTTTCACCCTGTCATGAAGTTTTCTATCTACAGGATTTGATATACATTCATTCATTCATTCATTCATTCATTTATAAAGGGTCAGTCCATTCTTTCCCAGCTAGAAATTGTAGCAGTCTAGTTCAGGAACTAGTCTCCTAATCTGGGGAACCGGGTTCGTGTCTCCGCTCCTCCACTTGCAGCTGCTGGGTGACCTTGGGCCAGTCACACTTCCTTGAAGTCTCTCAGCCCCACTCACCTCACAGAGTGTTTGTTGTGGGGGAGGAAGGGAAAGGAGAATGTTAGCCGCTTTGAGACTCCTTAAAGGGAGTGAAAGGCGGGATATCAAATCCAAACTCTTCTTTTTTATCTTACTATAAGCTAGTTTTTCAAAACCGCCTCTAAATTCTGGTTCCACAGGGAGCTCGAAGAGATATGGATTGTTTCCCCCACTTTCATTTTATCTTCACAACATCCATGTGACCCAGCAAATTTCATGGCTGAGTAGGGAATTAAAACCTGAGTCACGTGACTCCAGTCTTTACTTTCTGACAGTGACCCCATACTGGCCTCCCACACTGTTAAAGAACACAAATCTGTGTTCTTAAATAATTGGAGGGAGTTCTTAAGTCTTTGAGATGTAGGTACGAGGTATGAATGGTCAAAGTGCTGTGCGATAAGTATAGTACAATATATGTGCATTACTAGTAGTAATTATTATTTTTTAATATATATATACATATACCATTTTCAGTCATCAAGATGGATTTAAGGGTAGAACACTAGAAATCTAATGCCGCAAAACAGCATGTCTTTCAATCAAACAATAAAAATTAGGGATAACGTACTAAAATGTGGAAATGTACTGTTATGCTTTAAACTGTAAGGAATGGGATGGTGGTTTTATAAAGAAATGGAGGGGAATAGCACACACCTGCTGTTTGCACTTAATGTATTTGCAGCAGGAAACCTTGGTGTAACCGTGATGTGCCTCTGGCAAATGTAAGGAATTGCAAATAGAAGGAATCTAACGGACTGGCAAATGTAATAGAAGGAATCTAAGGACTAAGGCAGGGGACGCGGGTGGTGCTGTGGGTTAAACCACAGAACCTAGGACTTGCTGATCAGAAGGTCAGCGGTTCGAATCCCCTCGACGGGGTGAGCTCCCGTTGCTCAGTCCCTGCTCCTGCCAACCTAGCAGTTTGAAAGCACGTCAAAGTGCAAGTAGATAAATAGGTACCGCTCCAGCAGGAAGGTAAATGGTGTTTCCGGACTTCCGGTCGGCGCCAGCGCTAATGGCGGTCCTTTTTCCGAGCTCCGGAAAAGGACTGCCCTGCGAGTTCGGGTCTGTCCCGCTACGGCAAGCGGGGGACCCCTAAAATCACAGGCGCGGAAGCCTGTGAACGAGGAGATTCGGTGGGCACCAGGAGCGCCCCCCCCTTTACCGCAGAAAGAGCCTTTTTAAAGGCTCTGGAACGACATCGGGGGAGCGCGGTGCTGAGAATCGCTACCCAGCCCGCAGGGTGAAGCCGCGTCGCTATTAGCGGAGAGCGCCGATTCCTTCCTGTAAATTTCGGACAGAAAAAACCCGTGAGTAAAACGGAACGTCTATTTGGAATTAAATTCTGGAAATTTGGTGGAAAACGGGGAGGTAAAAATTAAGGAAGTCTGCCTTCCCCCGACTGCATGAAAGTGAAAGCAACGGAACTGTAAAGCTGCATCCGTAAGAGACATTGCTTTTGATTAATTAAACCTGACATCTGGACTTTAGATCTCCCCTCTAGCTAGCAGGGCAGAGGGGAGCCAAGAGAGATTTTGGCAACTGCATGATCTATTTAAAAGAAAAATTCTCTGCTGTCTCAGTGACCTGAAACGGTCTGCCTAGTAAGACAATAGGACACTGAACTGACTTTTTCCTGTGAAAGTTACATTGTGACACAAAGTTTCTGCACTGTTTGGCTACAGTATACCAGAGCAGGCTGAGATAGTATCTATTGGGAAACTGTGGCAACTTTTACTTACAAGCCTCCTGCTATACTTGCCTTAAACTTTTTTTCCTTTCTTCTACGTATTTGGACATTGTCTTTGCCTTTGTATTTGGACTTTGTCTTTGTATCTGGACATTTTGATTTGCTCCCCCTAGAGGGTAAAGCAAAGGCCGACACAGCTCAAGACAGTGGAATTTTCCATCGGGAAATAGCTCCCGTGGGAAACGACCTTGACATGAGTGGTTCACAAGAAGAGATAGTCACAAGAGCCAAGACCAAACAACAACAACAGTACCAGCTGCAGCAACAACAACAACCAAAGAAAAGAGG